ACACACACACACACACACACACACACACACACACACACACACACACAGATATACGGCACATCCATGTTCCCAAAGCAACTCTGGAGAAACCAGCACAGAGGAAGCTCCATTAAGAAAACATGCCGTCGTGTCTTTTATTGTGAAAACAGCGACCAGCACTAGTTTTAGAAGTCACTAAATATAAAAGATATAAAATACAAAAGACTTTTCAAAGAATCTTCCCCATAATCATCATCAACCATGCTGAAGTCAATATAACCTACAACAATTATGAACGTTCTTCTTTTTACTTTGTTATCGTCGTCTAAAGAGGTTATTTTACAGGAAACAATTCAAAGGATCAGGAAATAAAGATTGTGTTTATATAGATTTAAATAAATCTCTTCATTATTATCTTTATATGTATAATAATGAGTTCAGAGCTCGTGTTAGGAAGGTAAACAGCTCATAATTCATCTTCATATCTATTTTATATTCATGTGAAAACATCTCCTTCAAACTACTGGATTCATTCTAGTTCATCACCAGAACCACATTTTACAGATGACATGTGAACACATCACGGTCTGTTAGAGAATCTCAACAGAGCTTAAACACGAGGACGAGGTTCATACTTCTGAGCGAGCTCGGTCCACTGGTCCAACCACTTGCAGGCCGGGATGTCCCTCATACAAGCCTGCAGCAGAGACACAGAGAGACAGAGAGACAGAGACACAGAGAGACAGAGAAACAGAGAGACAGAGAGACAGAGAGACAGAGAGACAGAGAAACAGAGAAACAGAGAGACAGAGAGACAGAGAAACAGAGAGACAGAGAGACAGAGACACAGAGAGACAGAGACAAACAGAGAGACAGAGACACAGACAAACAGAGAGACAGAGACACAGAGAGACAGAGAGACAGAGAGACAGAGACACAGAGACACAGAGAGACAGAGAGACAGAGACACAGAGAGACAGAGAGACAGGGACATAAATATGAACTGCTTGTTGCATTTCAGTCTTAGTCGTCTTCTTTCAGTGTCTTGTTCCACAATCAAATAACAAATAAGCATTTAACAAACTGAATTTACACATATTTATATTTACATATATACTGTATTATTTGATCTTCATGGTCCTGGTCATCCACCAGCTTTTGACTATCACCTAATTGTTAGCTTGATGTTTATTATTTCATGGTAAACAGGAGAGGAACAGACCTCCATGATCTCCAGCAGGGCCTCTGTGACGGTCTCCAGGGAGGACAGGGCGAAGGTCTCCCTCTCGTAGGACCCGGGGGAGAACGAGCGGTCTCTGTAGCTGGAGCGGAACGCGATGACGGCGGCCGACTTCACTTTGCTGATGCCGAACAGCAGGTAGAACTTAGGCAGCGAGAACTCGGTCAGACTCAGCCTCAGAACCTGCTTCGTCTCCTCTGGAGACATCACAACACATAACATATGGAGATAGTTTTGACACAAAAACTGCGGCTTGGGAAACACTCAGAGCTGCAGGAAATCAAACTCTCTCTGAAGAAAATAAGAGGAGAAAGTCAACTAAATCTAACTTTATAAACCATTTATAGAGTATGAAACTCCCTGACCAGAGCTGAGAGTGTGTGTGTGTGTGTGTGTGTGTGTGTGTGTGTGTCCTCACCGCTGAAGTTGAGCTGTGAGCAGGTGCAGAGCGAGTGGATGATGTTGATGACCAAGCCGTGGGTGGAGGCCCTGAGGGAGAGCGGCCCGGTGGCCACCAGCAGGGTGACCACGTGGAACAGGTAGGGCAGGTGAGCGGCCACGTCCAGAGAGTTGTTGAAGGACAGCATGAGCATGTAGCGGGCCAGGATGGCGATGTCGTCCCACATGAGGTGCTGCTCCAGAGTGGGCGTCGGAGACAGACACGTCTTATCGATGATCTTACACATCCGACCAATCACCTGCCGACAGACAACAAGACAACGTTTAAACACTTTTATGTGATGTCGTCGCTTTTCTGTTTCATTTATTTTATAAATGTTTTCATGGTCCTCATTTATTGCCTGAAGGCATCATAATGTAACTGAAGTGAACCTCCATTGGTTAGCCGTTAGCGGTGCTGCTAACGTTACTAGCTCTCCTCCTG